AATGACTACTAAAATATATGCAAATATTGAGTTCTATCAAGAACCTCAAATAAGATTATCTCCAATAAAAGGATGCTTATGCCTAGCAAAAAGAAAATTGCTTATATAACCTTAATGCTTCCATTAATATGTAATTAATAATCTACAAATGCTTTTTGGGAGTCTTTTAGTCATAGGACCAATGTGGTATCATCAAATATTCAAATTTATTATGGAGTAATTCCCTAGTTTTTCTTTAAGTATTTTTCCAAATATTCAAATTTATTCCTTAAGTATTTTTGCAAAAATTTCCAAGAAATTGTCACAAAATATTCTTTAAACTAAAATTTTCATTTCTAGGGCATGAAACGATGTTTATAAGCTCAAATTAGTCTTACAATAATTGTCCCTTATTTCTCCAAATAATTGTCCTTTCATTAACCACAATTCTAATAATTATTTAAAATTTCTTTTCGAGTTAATTTTCTTATTTATAATTAAGCCTCAAACATGGCCAAGGGAATTATTCTCTATCTTTGTGCCACCAGAGAGTTTTCCTAATGTTCCGGACGAAACTTCCCAAATTACCGTTTCGTGCCTTACATGTATTTAAAATCACGCTTTTGCCCTAACTCAGGACAGTAGTAATACAATGTTGCCTTAGTGTGTCTATTATTTTATTTGGCCCTTGGCATCATGTTTAGCCTTTATTTGGAAAGGATCGATGTTACAATCATTTAAACCTTTTAGGGCATTTATGAGACTTGTACTTACATGGATCTAGCATCGTACTTACTTTAGACTTATTCTTGAATTTCGAAGCCCGAAATTTCATTACGGTAAGTACGTATCCTTTTGTGGTGTGTAATCAATACGGTAAGTTGATATCTTTTTATATCCATATCCGTCAGGCAGAAGACTTTTTTAAGCTTTGTAGTCACATTTTGGAAATATATTCTAGAAGCATATTACTCAAAAAGTCGGGCATTCATGAAACTAGCGTCCATCTACTAATTAACACCTTTATGTTGACTTATGATACCGTAACAATCAGTCATGCATATTTAGTTCATCCCCACGTATATAAAAGCTTCTTTGCTTCATTGCACACGTTCTCATAAAGAAAAGTAATTTGTAAGTTAAATAAATCCTATTATGTTAGTTTAAGCTCATACTACATAATTTAAAGCATTCATAGAGCCTACCCTTAAAAATTAGACAACCCAAAATTTGAAGATGCTTATCAACTTCTAAATCAAACAAACTAGCACAAAGAATTCAAAATTTTCAAAAATAAAGTCCTATTATCACTTTACATGGCTAGAGGAAATCACACAACTTCACATTGATGAAAAGAATTTAGCGAATATATATATATAAAGCCCAACTAATGTGAAAAATCTAGTACATAATAACGTCAAGTTTCCATAGGAAAAATCATTGTGAGCGAGGAATTTTAACCCCTTTCTCTTATCTTAAGTTCTCTAATCCCTAACTCCCCAGCAAAATTGTTAAAATTACCCACTAACTAAAAAATGTGAATTAGCAGAGAGGAGGACTTGCATTAAAGGGAGAAAGACGAGATGATGGTTAACACAATGGAGAAATAAAGGTAGAGATGCGAGAAGAGGGAATGACTAGAGACGAAGATGACACGAAGGAGAAATAATAGAGACAAAGATGATGCGATTCAATGTAGAGACTTTGAGGGTGGCACATCTTACTTTTAAACCTCATTTTATCTCAATTGGAACCATTTTGGATTATTTTTTATGGCCTTAAGTTGGAAAATTTTGAATTTTGAATTTTCTTAAATTCATGTTACTATTCATTGTAACCCTTGTAAAGACTAAATTTTGAAAATTCATAACTAATTCTAGAAATATTAGAATGAGATGGTTCTAAGTTATATGGAAAGATCTTGATATGCTCTTTAAAGAAAAAACACCCATTGGCATCCAGAACTCATCTATCAATCCCAGAATTCGTTCAAATTGGTACTATTCATATGGTCATTTTTTAATTTTTCAGAATTTATTCTCAAGTTTGGAAGAGTATGCTTTTTGTACAAAACTTCAAATTGAATGAAATACTACTTATTTTAAAGCTAAAACTATGATCTATAAGTTTGTCAAGGTTCATCCAAAATCTCATCCAATTGCAAAAAATTTCATTGGTCAAACTTTACCCTTAAAAAGTCAACCTTTATCCCTCTTGTATGCCATTCTTACTTTTTTCTTCTCTTTTCAATCTATATGACCATTTCAATTACATAACTCATGCTTGAACATGATTCTCTAATCAAATGCTCACATATAAAGCATCCTTGATCATTGATACAATATTCTAACATAGTCTACAATAATATATAATAATTCATGATAATTACAAAACATAATTTCAATGGCATTAGGTTCTACCATCTCCCAATATGATTTCATTTCCCTTCTTTTGGCTTTTGGTAACACCACTTGAGATTCCCATTGATTGTTTATACGTTGAGAGGGATGAGATTTCATAGAAATCTCAGTAGCAAGGAAGTTACAATAATAATGTTAAATATGCAAGATACATTACAATCAATCCATAACACATTTCTCTTCCTATTTGCCATATAAACACCATATCAAATCATTCTAAATCAATAAGTTAATGCATTATGCCACGGCATACTATGCAAGTAAATTAAACACATTATCATCAAATAATTTGAAATAACATATGACATATATTCCAAGGATAATATCTTGTAATAATCAAGCAAGTCAACATTAAAATTGTAATTTCATGCTACCTCTTTTTATTGCACAATTTCGGTTTCCTTGATTCCTTTGGGTTCCTCCTTATCTTCTTGTACAATGCCTAACAATTCATGCATAAAACACATTCCAAATTACCAAAAATCCAAGCATAAACATTAATATTTAACCTTGAATTCAATTAAACTCCTTTTTCCATAATTTTTGACATAATTATTCCCTTTTTGTTTCCATCAATCTCTTGGGCCATTCCTACACAATTTTTCATATAGAATTCAAACATCAAATCAGATTTTACAAAATCACATCCTTCTCTTTCATTTCAGCTTGGCTGAATAACATAGTATTACTTTCCAAATTTTTTATTTTTGATTGCAATGATTTTAAACACTTTCCATTGGTGTTTTCCTACACAAAAATACCTTTTAAACTCGGTGGAATCATCAAAATACAGCAAAACAAACTCCTATCCCAAGAACTCACCATGGGCGAAATGTGTGCTTAAGGACCCTAACTTGGTTTTCGTTCAAAAATCAATCCAAATACCACTTAAACATGATAATTCCAACTCATTTTTAAGGCTTTTATCCTTCCCTAAGCCATGCTTCACTTGAACTAAATATGGCAGCACCATAACCTTAGATTACAACTTAAATTTCTAACCATAACAAGCTTTAAACTTAACCAAAATAAAGCTCAAACTTACCTTGATAAATCCTTGACCAAAGCTTGGTATTTCCTCCTTTAATTGCACTATCTAAGGCTCACTTTTAAGCTCAAAAATTTAGTTTGGCAGCACCTCCTCTTTTTTGTCAATTTTTGGCCAATTTACTGTAATTAGGGGCTATTTATAGAAAATTTTTTTGACCTTCCTCCCCTCATATGTGGCGTATTATGCTGCCACGTAAGAGGCCAAGTAGCTACCTTGCCATGCGTCCATTTTAAAGAATATTCCATTGATTTTTAGGTGTAAATTGGGCTTAAATCTATTTAAATGTTAGGCCATGTTTTGCACGAAAATTTTGGACTTCTTTGGCCTAAAATCAGGCCCATTTCTGATCTGGAATGATCAAGGGAAGTGGCCTAATCATAAAATATTAATTCCAAGCAAAAATTGAAGTTTATTGGTTACTATTCACTTGTAACTTTTTATAATTATTCTAGGCCTCCAAAATCACATTTTTCTCCATGAAAAATCCTATTTTAATATAGAAATACATTCTGAAAAATTTTAGAATTTTTCTACACCTCTAACTATTTATTTAGAATTTTCTCCAAATAGGGCTTTATCGGTAAGACTTTTGGAAGTAAATTCTTTGAAATTAACTCCTGTACTTTCAGTGCCTGAAATCAATTTTATAAACTCAATTAAATATTTAAATAATTATTTCATACTTTTTTCAGAATTATTGAGGTTTTTAAGTATTTAAAATAATTATTTTTAGTCAATTTCTACTATTTTTCCCGAAAAACCTTCGTTTTTGGGGAATTCTATAATAAACTATTTTTATACTATTTCCACTTTCAGTGCCTCAATTTAGGTTCCAAAACCTCTAATTTATAAATATTTTATTTTTAGAAAATTTTCTAGAATTTTCTCTAATTTTCTCATTTTGCCCTCCCTAGACCAATAATTTTAAAAATATCAATCCAGATAATGGTCGGAGCTTAACTCAAAAGTTGTTCCGCCTTTGAGTCTATTTTACTATTGGACCTTCTATCTAATTTATTATTCACATTCTCAGGGCTAAATTTGGCGGGATGTGACAGAGGGCAAGTGAAAAATTGAAGAAAAATGAAGGAAGAAATGGCGTTTAAGGTATTGATATGAAAAATGAATGGGTGGTATATTGTTTGCGATGACAATTGACATACATAGTACTCCTCTGATTCTAAATATAAGAACCATTTTGTAGTGTAAATTATACTATAAAATGAGTCTTATATTTAGGATCGAGTAGTAGTTACTATTTCAATTTGTGCAATCTACGTAGATAAGCCATAAACTCCTTAATTAAAAAAAAATCTCATCAAAATTCCATTAACTCATCCATAAAATTCCATATTGAATACAAAATCCAATCATTAGCTCAGAGTTCTCACCATAGAGAATCAATTAAGATATACCCAAGTTGAATTCAAGTCTCAAATACTCTATAAAAACTTGAAGGAAAACAATCCTAAAGATACAATTGAAATCTCAAAAAATCAAAGAAAGCCAAAAACATGCGCTTGAGAATAGCATTCGGTATTGTTAGGCATTTAAGCTGCTGCTGTTGCTCCTGCTTCACAAGCAGGTGCTACTCCTGTAACAATGGGCTTGGCATTAGAACATTTGGCCACTACTTCACTTCCGTTAAATGTGAGCTGAACATTGCTGAGGTTGACATTCTCACACGGTACACCCGCACTACATATAAGTATTACCCCTTCTTTTGTTCCAGAAGTTCCCCTAATGTTCTTGAAAGTCACATCACTTATCTTTACCTTGGATGGGATCTATAACAAGCCATTGAAACAAAATGGAAATTGAAATAATGGTTTAACATTAACGGGTCTAAATTAGAATGAAGTTGAATATATAGGTTTCAATAAATGAAATTAATACCTTTTTGTTGCATTGATTCCATGGACAGTACTCTTGGTCTATGATGACGGGGTTAGAGACATTGTTCATTGTAATATCCTCAAAGTGCATATTTGTTATTGTAATACTTCCTGGGGCGGCAGGCCATGTCTTGATCCTCACACCATTCATTGTGTTAGAGATTGTGCAGTTCTTGACTGTGAATTTATCAATTGGAGTTTCCTCTACAAATTTTCCAACACTTCCAACACTAATGCCATGGCCAGGTCCACACGTGACATCCTCCACAGTCACATTTACACTGCCATCACCCAACGAGATACAATCATCTCCAGTACCAATGCTACTGTGCAGGATTCTCACATCAGTTGATCTTCCGACATGGATTCCGTCTGTATTCGGACTATCTTCAGGCGCACTAACTTTGAAGTTATTAAACTCAATGTTATTGCATCCCAATACATTCACATGAAAGTTTTTGCTGTCCTTTGATGTCACATCCCTAATAACCGAATTGTTGAGGAAACTGAACCCAAAATTCTGCAGTTCAAATTTGTTAAAATGTTAATACATCTATGCATATCTAGTAAGATATGAAATAGAGCTACAGTTATTTGTACGTGCCATTGTAAGCATTTTGCAATTGACATTTTTGGCACAATTATTTTGGTGCCAGGAAGAAGGACCTAGGCCATCAAAGACTCCATGGCCTGATAACGTGAAGTTATTGACGTATTCAACTCGAATCCATTGTGCAACACCGTGTAATAGAGTCATATCTCCTGGTGCTTCGATTGTGCCATCATTAAATAACTCTATGGAAGGAGCCTTGCATGGCCCTTTCATTTGTATGTCACCCATTCTGTACTTTCCATTTTTTATATAAATTCGTACTGGGTCTGTGCCTGAACATGCTTCTTCCCATGCTTTGGTCAAAGCCTTCAATATATTCAAAACAAAAATTATTAATCAATAATTACCTGCAATAGTTATTAGTAATAAAAACTTTCTTTTATTAATTAACTAGTGATGAATGATGATACCTGAGTTATATCTCCATTAGGGAGCCCTTTGTAACTTGCGATGTCCAGCACTTTTTTATTTTGAGCTGTGACGACAATGATGAAGGAAGCCAAAAATAAGAACAAGGCACGTGTGAAGATCCTCATTCTTTTTCTTGTATGTGCTATGGGACTTTTTCTTTTTCTTTATTATTATATGAGTTTTCAAGATGTGTGTGTGTTTGTGTTCGTGTGTATATATAGTGAAAACAAGTCCGAAAGCTAAGCCTTCTTACAAAGGCATAAAACTTTGTAAGCCATCTGTTTGGTCTAAGTAATTATGATAGAGCACATTTTTCGTAGAGTTTCTATTTTGTCATCATTTTTGGTTCTATTTGTGATGTACGTTCATCAAAAGGTACAATCTATTTATATCCAACTTGTTGATCCCCGGATAGTATGGTTTGGAAAATTTCAACACCATTGTCGTATACTTTTTTCGAGATGAACAATTTTTCATCAAAAGAAGGAAATAAAAAATGACTTGTTTGATGGTTAATTGTCAGTTAAGTATTTTTTAAATACAAAAAATTGAAACATGTTTTTGAAAATAAAAAACTCAAAACAATTTTTACATTTTATATTTTTTATTCTATTTTGTATTTTCTTCCTATTTTCCTTTAACTCGTGGTTGCGCTCTCTACTTTCCCTTTTGGCTGTGCACCTTTACTTACGTCATCACTTGGTTCTTCAACTCTGTCCATCATCGCTGTACTCCGCTTTGTATCTCAGCTTCTCTTAATTCTCCAAGTTAGTTTTAAAAGCAATTGTTTCAAACAATTTTTATGTTTTCACTATTTCCAGATTTAATTTTTTAGAACAATAATATAAATAGAATTAGTTTTTCCTTCCAAACCTTGCTTTAAAAAGAGTTTTATAAAATTATTCTAGAAACATAAAACAAAATCAAACATGGCCATACTTACCGGGAATTGCAGTAAGCACTTTCTCTCAATTTCTTAATGATACATGATGGCAGAGGAAGGAAGAACCAAGAACAAGACACGTGATTATTTTCATTTTTTATTATTATTTTGACTTTTCAAGGACATGATATATATGTATGTATATATATTATGGAAACTAGTAAGACACAAGGATTCTTACAATGGTAAACAAGTTTGAAAGCCATCCATTTGATTTTGAATGAGTGGAAGCACGTGACATAAATTGGTGATAATCTAATTTTGTTATTAGTTCTAGTTCTTTTCTATGATGTTTCTTTAAAAGCATAATCTATTTCTATCCAACCCGTTGAAACCCAGATACAATTGTTGGATTTTTAAATTTGGATCTGCCCTTGATAGGCCAGACTATTTGATTGGATATTACGAGAATATTCTGATCAAATATTCAAGCAAGATTATGATATTTTGACTCGGTCAAATATCTTGAATCAAATCCAATAGGTTATGATATAAGTTAAATTAATTTATATTGTATAGATTAAATATATATTAGAGATATATATTTAGAGTTAATTCAGATTAATTATCAGTCAAGATATATTTGAATATTCGAATTCGAATTCAAACTAATGGACTTAATGGATGTTTTGCCTGCCCAAAATACCCCTGGTCAAAGCGATAAATAGAGGCCTCCGTCCATCAATTTAACTCACCTCAGTAGTTGAATTTTCCTACTCTCCTCTCTCTCTCTCTCTCTAATATTCTCTCTTGTATGCTGCTCTATTGTGTCATTCAAGTTTACGCTCTAGTAATCTAAACTCTGTGTGAGCATCGATAGATCAACTCGTGGAGTGGGATAACCAGAATCCAAACATGGATCTGACCTCGTATGTGTTTCTTATTTATATTTAATATTTCTGACATTGGCATCAAAGCTACGCTAATCTTGAGGCCATGTTAATTTTTTTAAAGTTAAAAAAAAAACCTAAAACCTTCATATTTGAATTTAAATTCATAATTGGTTTTAGATAGCTTAAGAAATTTTTTTGAGATAAGATAAAAAGCTGATATTTATAGTAAAAAAAATTTCATAATTAAAAGTGACTTAGATGTGTCCATTTTTCACAAAATACACTTATAACTTTAAGAGATAGGAAATAATAATTTTGCAGTAATCTAAATGGGAAAAACTTATTAACCAAAGTCCTCCCAAACTTTCAAACACATTGAAGCGATTGAGATTGAAAGGCACATCTAGGGACTTAACTAGAAGAGATGTAAGCGAATCATCTCAAAAGAAACTAGTGGGAGGTATGATTGCAAAACATATCCGATGAAGTAGATACTGTGTCACATCCTGAGAAACTCTATTTGGACATAGAAAGTTAAAAATTAGAATAAAGGCCAATGTAGGAACTAGACGAGGAGACAAAGTAACTTTTGAGCTGAAACCCCGATAAGGTTTGAGCTGGTATTTTCATAATTATCGATCTATGAAGGGCAAAATGGAAAATTTGGAGAAAAATTCTAAAAAATTCCCAAAAAATGAGAAAAATGAAAATTAAAGGTTTTGAAAACTTAGTTGAGGCCCAAAAGGTAGAATTATTGTGGAAATAAATTATTACGGAATTTTCCGTGAAAGAAGGTTTTTCAGGAAATTAGTGAAAAATCAGAGAAAAATAATTATTTTAATTAGTTAGAGGCCTCAATAATTATGGAAAAAATATAAAAAAATATCTAAATATTTATTTGAATTTATAAAATTGGTTTTATGCCTTAGAGGCTCAGGAATTAATTTTAGAAAATTTATTTTCCTGCAGTAATATCGATAAAGGCTTAATCAGAGAAAATTTAAAATAAATACATAGAGGTGGTAAAAATTATAAAAATTTTCAGATCATATTTTCATATTAAAAGGTGAATTATCATGAAGAGAAATGAATTTTTGGAGGTCTGAAAATATTATGGAATGTTACTAGTGAATACTAACCGATAAACTTTCAAATTGGTTTGGGATTTGGATTTGGATTGTGGGCCATCTTTTTGGGCCAACCTAGACCATTTGTGGGGTCCACATTGAGCCGAATAAGGGCCCAATTTCGTCCAGCTTCTAGACCCCAATAAAATTAATTAAATAAAATGCAAAATTTAAGGATAATTGTTGGAAAATTCTAGAGTTTGGATACTTGTTCAAATCTGAATTTTCCTTGCACTTGATGGCTGCCAACACACCATCTTATCTGTCATTTTGGGCGTCCAAATCAGGAAAAAATGGCAGATTAAATTTTCTATAAATACCCCCTCCTAAAATACAAGAAAATGTTGGAAAAATTGGAAAAAAAGAGGGGAGGTGCTGCCGTTTTCGTCCAGACCAAGGGAGACTGAAATTGTGGAGTTTTTGAGCAAGGAATCATCTAGCTTTTACTGGGAAAACATCAAGGTATGCTTAAGCCTCCTTATCCCTAAGTTTCAAGCTTGTTTAGTAAGGGTTTTGACTTGAATTTTTCAAGTTGTGATGCTGCCTCCTTTCGGTTTGAGTATGTAATGGTTAGGGAAGGATAGAAACCTTAAATATCAAGTGGAATAAGCATGTATAAGTGGTGTATGGATTGATTTTTGGAAGAAAAACCACCTAGGGTTATATATGTATATTTCAGCCTAGCACTATTCATGCAGAAGCAAATTGTTTTTGGCTTGATTTGATGATTTCAATGGGTTTAAAACATGTTTTTATATAGGGATATGTTGTTGGAAAGTGTTTGAAATCATTGGAATCAAAAATGAAATTTTTGGAAGTTTATATACCCTATTCGGCGAAGGTGAATTCATGGGGAAGGAGTTTGATTTTCAAAAATATGATTTCATATTTGAATTCCTTGTGAAAAATTATGTAGGAATGAGTCATGAGGTTATTGATTCTAAAGGAGGAGTCATTTTGTAAAAAAATCAAAGAAAAGGGGGGAAATTGTTAAGTTAAAGTTTAAGGACTGGGTATAAGTGGTTTGGCTATTAATGTGGCCTATATTTATGCCTGATTTAATAGGCTTTGTGAGAAGGAATCAAGGAGGATCATTGTCCCTTGAGGAGGCCAAATTAATCAAGTGATAAGAGGTAGCTTTGGATTATGATTTGATTTGTTTATCTTACTTGTTTAATGTGATTATGTTGATTGCTTGAATTGAAAAATTTATGTGGTGATAATGGTTGACTTTATGACATTTGTTTATGCTTTGGCCAAATGCATAGAAATATGTCAATATGAAATTGTTGATATTTCTCTTTTGGTATGATGCAAAATATGATTTTATGTGACTTGCGGATGTTTGAAGTTTTATAACATGTCACATTATACTTGCTTGATTTACATGACGACTGTAATTCATTACTACTGAGATTTCTATGAAATCTCACCCTCCTCAATGTATAAACAATAATAGGAGCCCTAAGTGGTGTTGCCTAGGGCAAGGAGAAAAGGATTGGAAGTCATATTGGAAGAAGTTTAAGCTAAATGTCATTGAAGTTATGATTTGTAAATTATTATAAGTTGTTATGTATCATTGTAAACGATGTTGAAATATTATATTAACAATTAAGGATACTCCATTTATGAACAATTGACTAAGGAATTATGTCTATGCATGTGTTGCATGATTGGAAAAGCTAGATGAAAGGAAAAGAAAAAGAAAAAGCAAGAATAGTATGAAAAAGGGATAAAGGTTGACTTTCTGGGAGCAAAGTTTGACCAACGTGATTTTGAGGAATTGGATGAATCTCGATTTGAAACTTGGCATGCTATCTCATTTTTAGCTTTAAAACAACTAGTAATTCATTAAATTCAGAGTTTTGTGTAGAAAGTTATGCCCTTTAAAAGTTGGACATAAATCCTGAAAAATTAAAAAATGACCAAATGAATAGTATCACTTTGAACAAAATCTAGAAATGACGTATGAGATCCGAATACTAATGAGTATTTTTCCTCCAAAGAGCATGTCAAGAGCTTTCTATAGAACTTGCAACCATCCCATTTTGATTTTTTTACAATTAGTTATGAATTTTCAAAGTTGGCCTAAATTGCTGTGAATAGTGTATGGAAATCCGAAAATGGGAATTGTGAAATTTGAAATTTTCTCATACTTAAGACTTAAATAATGGTTCCAATTGATGTATAATGTGATAATAAAGGAGGTGTGACATACTGGG